ACCCATCATCATCCCAGCATTATTACTTCATCCCAGTCCCTAACCCCAAGAGAAGAGTCTTTTTGTTGTTGTTGTTTAGGGATGGGGTGGGGTTTTTTTCTGAGACAGAGTCTTACTCAGTCACTCTGGGGTTAAGTGCCTGTCAATCATAGCTCACAGCAACCTCAAATTCTTGGGCTCAAGCAATCCTCTTGCCTCAGTCTCCTGAGTAGCTAGGACGATAGGTGCTCACCTGGCTATTTTTTTTAGAAACGGGGTCTTGCTCTTGCTTAAGCTGGTCTCAAACTCCTGAGCTCAGACAATCCACCCACTTCAGCCTCCCAGGGTGCTAGATTACAGGTGTGAGCCACTGTGCTTAGCCTTAGAAGAAGAGTCTTAACATGACTCTGAGGAAAATTATAGTTGAAATTGGCCTTTACTCAGAAAGAGAAACCAGAATGACTTTAAATTATTTTAAAAATATACTTGCCTGTCCATCCCTGGCGATTTTCTTTTGTCACATCTGCTTTATGTCGGAGCAAGACTCGAGCAGATTCCAAATGTCCCAAAGAAACAGCAAGATGCAGTAAAGTTCGACCTCGTGGATCCAGAGCCTCCACATTCTGCAAAGTAAACACCGGCATTTATATAAATGGCTGTTATATTAAAATGGGGTAATTTGTTTGAGAAGTAATGCTAAGTATGAAAATGGAAAACAGTATTCACACATTAATTACAGCAACACATGTAAAACGTGTGTTTGCATTTATGCATGACCAAAATATGAATCTGGGGACTATCAGTAAAGATGATAATCCTTTTGCTATAAAGTTAAGTGCCTAATAAATAAAGGTTGGCCGTAGGCCTCAGGTCATCCAACACAACTTTAAGCTTTCAACAGCACTCCAATTAAGTCCAAATAAGGCTAGGGGCTTCCATGAATTATAATTACCCTATGAAACAGAACATAGGGGATTTCTCAAGTGCCTATCAGCATCTAAGTCTAGAACAGGAAGTGCAGGACTTTAATCAAAACTGAAAGTACAGAAGATAATTTGGGTCAGAATAAAATTACATTCTCTGGCTGGATTCCCACCCAAACAGCACTCTCGTTATTGTGTATTGAGTTCCAAGTGCCCTGAAGTAGCACATAAAATCCAGCAGCATCTTCAGGTCCTACAGACAGACAAGGAGCATGATCTGTCAGACATGTATGCACATATAGTTGTCAAGAAATGTAGAAACACACATGCCATTTTTGTCCATCCCCTAGAGGCTTTTCTTCCTTGTGCTAGACATGCACATTTGGCTTTCATTTCTTCATTCCCATTCTGCTAGCATGGGGTCCTTTCAGCACCCACAGTTGGTTTCCAGAGCCACAAAGCGCATTTTCTCTGGTGTGAGCTAAGTCTCAGTGACTGGGTTCTGTCTACAAAATATGACACTGAAATTTCTTTCAAGGACACAGTAAACTGCCATGGGACTTTTGGAATGTAAAAGCTTTTTTTTTTT